AAATAATATAAATAATATAAATAATATAAATAATATAAATAATATAAATCAATATGTGCTTACGTGGTGGTTTGGGTTGGTGGTTTGGAAGTCTGGGAATTGATGATTTTGTGACCCTGGAACCAATCTAATAGTATCAAATTCTGTAAATAAGAGATAAAAATTTAATAACACATTTAAAATCAATAACACAAATTATTATTATATTATTATTGCTGGTTTTTCAAATTTTATATACCTGAAAAAATAAATTTATTATATTTTATTTGGTTGTTTATTTTATTGCTAGCAATTTATATTTTCCTTTCTTACCTAATTGTTTATCACTTTGGCTAATTATTATATTGAATCATTGAATATCCATAAAACCTATATCAAACCTCCATATATCCTCCATGGAACCTCCACCAAAATTTCATCAGTTAGACTACATGAGAGAACCAACAAGTGTAGATACAGGGGCCTTCAAAACCTCAATGAAACCTATATCAATCCTCCATGTATCCTCCATGGAACCTCCATCAAAATTCCATCAATTACACTACATGAGAGAACCAGCATGTATAGATACAGGGGCCTTGAAAACCTCCATGGAACCTATATCAAACCTCCATGTATCCTCCATGGAACCTCCATCAAAATTGCATCAAAAATATTCAAAAGGTAGTGATGTAAATGGATGTCAAATCGATCGTAAATTAATCGTTATCTGATCGAAAAAAATCCAAAAAATGTAATAGCATGTGTGCATTTTGATATCGCTTTCAGTGGGCAATAGATTCATAGAGATATTTTTTCTTATAGATAGATAGATTTAATTGGATTATATAATTAGATAGAGATTAGTACAAATGGGTGGGACTTCCTCGTTTTTACGTTCTTCCGCCTGACGTGGCTGCAGAGGCAGGCTCAGGTTTCGGCGATGTTTTGCGATCATTTTGCAATGGTTTTACGATCGATTTGACATCGGCCTAGAAAAGAATATTAAGGCCACAAAATGCCATCAATACAACATCGGTCAGAGCATGAGGCTTGCAAAAAACGACGCTTGCCAATTCATATGGTTTGACGATCAAAGAATTCAAGATATACATCTAGGGTTCGTTTCTGTTGGTGGTTTGGATTTATGGGTTTTGGACCTGCGATATCCTAAGTTCAAATTTTCCATCAAATTGATATCAACCCAATCATAAAACTACATCAAAATAACATCAAGGCAAAATCCACACTTGACACTTGAAACCCTGGCCTTGCCAAAAAAAACGAAACCGCCAGGTAAAGAATACTTAAACTAAATAATAATTCTGTACGAATTTGAATTTTCCAGAGCAGAAACCAAAAGTAACATCAATCAAAGGAGATTGCCCATTGAAAACGACATCAAAATACACACATACTATTATATTCTTTAGTGCATATTTTACGATCAATTTACCATCGATTTGCGATCGATTT